GCAAACACAATACACCGAGAAAGGAATACAAAAATACACACATATATACATGCACATTGGTCACAATATAATACATAAAACAAGATCTCTCTTAATCTGGTGTCTGTCTTAAAAACTCTGATACATTACGTTCCAAGGGTAGGCTACAATTCCACCCTTGTATCACTCTGTTGTGCTTAGGTACTGTTCTGTAGATGTGTCTGAGAGGATTGTTTTTTTTTCATATACAATACAGTATGTCCAGCCATGCCTAGGCAAGGTGAGAAGGACAATGAAAGGATAACATTTATGCTTGGATTGTGACTTTCCAGGGTTTTATCATTGTCAGCAAGATCCTTACACTCATTTCAATTTTGGGGGATTATATTTAATTTATCTTAATTTCTTAGACTCAAAGGTCAGAAGGGACCATCATGATTATCTAGTCTGACTTCCTGCACATGGCAGGCCACAGAACCTCAACCGCCCGCTCCTGTAATAGACCCCTAACCTCTGGCTGAGTTACTGAAATCCTCAAATCATGATAAAAAAACTTGAAGTTACAGAGAATCCACCACTTACACTAATTTAAACCTGCCCCATGCTGCAAAGGAAGGCGAAAACCCTCCAGGGTCTCTGCCAATCTGACCTTGGGGAAAATTCCTTCCTCACCCCAAATATGGTGATCAGTTAAACCCTGAACATGTGGGCAAGACGCACCAGCCAGATACCTGGGAAAATTATCTGTAGTAATTCTTCTTTGTAAGTGTAAAAATAGTGGGGAACAAAAATGCTGTGATGTATATGCAATATAGAGCCTTTTTAAAGTGTAAGGAAAAATGTCTCCTCTCCCATATGGATCGGACATCTTTTATCCAGACTGTGATCTCTCTAGGCCTGCTTCACACTATTCTACCTGCAAAACTCCCATTGACATCAATGGGAGCTACACATGCAGAATGAGTAGAAAATATGCAATAGAGATCTGCAGTGCAGGTGAGTGATTCTCCCATACTGACTGCAGAGGAGAATTAGGCTTCAAATATCTAGGCCTCAAACATCTATCTATCTATCTATCTATCTATCTATCTATCTATCTATCTATCATATAGATAGATAGATATAAAATACACTAAAACAATTAGATCAATTTTTCTAAAGTAGCTTCTAAAATTGCACCCACCTTTTCTTTACATCCAGGCTTCCTTGAGCCCAGACTGTGCAGGCTGGGCGTCTAGATTTCTGAGTATCTGATTTTCATGTGTAAATGTGATTTCCTCATCCTGGTTTGAGTTTTTTATGTGTACAAAACTTGGATGTGAAGAAGCATGGACACAGTTTGACAGGCCAGTTATGGACTGGGCACTTGTCAAATTTTAGTCCCAGAGCCTGCAAACCTACACGTTAGTGTGATTGGGCCATTCTGGACGTCTTTACTTTGTTTCCACTCTGTCCCTATTCTGGCATAATCTTGCTGTGATGAATGAGACAGTTCTAGCTCTTAGTTACGCTGGTGTCAATCCAGAGTAACTCCAAGCCATTCATTGGGGCTACTCCAGAATTATAGTAGTGTGATTGGGAGCAGAATTTATCTCTGGGAGATTTGCTGAAGTAGAGAATGGGTAAATGCTGAGTATCTGATCTTTTGAATTAGGAGGGAGTTCATAGATTTTTAAGGCCAGAAGGGACCATTTTGATCATCCAGTCTGAGCTCCTGGATAACACTGGCCATAGAATTCAAGCCAGTGATTCCTGCATCGAGACCCGTAACTTGTGGCTGAGTTGAGAATGATCAGTATCTCACATCACTGTCTTAAAAGGGCAGATTTCTGCTTTTCTTGCATATGTCTATACTTAAAGTAGTTAAACTGATGAGGAGTTACCCTACCTTTGTTTTCATCTTTAAAACACTCTTTGGGCTAGGGCTGCCTGGTACCCACTGAAAATGGGTTGGATGTGCAAAACCCAGACACATCCTTAATGTACACACCCTTATTGGGGTGCTGCTGGGCACCAGCGCTGCAATTTGTACAACCAGAAGGAAGCTCTGTTTGTTTAAAAAAATGCCCTAATTTTCTCTGGCCACTTCCCTTGAACCCAGTGGATGAGGTTTCTCTGCGAGTTTATTTTCCAGGCACTTTGCATTTGCCAAGGTGCCACCTTGTCTGACCCTCAGATGCGTCAGAAAGTTATTAAAAATGAAGGGAGAAATGAGAAAAAAGAAGGCACCGGGTCTGTAACTGCTGACAGAGGAAGGCATGGCCTTGTGCTGGTATGTAAGCCCTGGGAGTTTTCCTCTCTCACAGCACCAATCCATGCGGTTGTGGCATTTAAGACCTGCCAGGGTTGTGTTTTATTGTTTATTGCTTCTCCCTTCTTTTCCTGCTCTTTGCCCCACTTTTGCCTTTTCCCCTGTTAGGAGTGTCCTTTTTGATACTTCGTTTCGTTCCCTGACTAGAGCAGGACACCTTGGACTAGAATTTGGACCTGAGGGCTGTATTGCATCTTTTTATGATCCTGAGGGCTGTGGCTAAATGGAGCAGCTTGCAGCCACCCTGAACCTGAACAGAGAGTTGTGGTCCATTGAGATTTTAGGAAAGACTACTGTGCTTCATTTTGATCCCGATATTTGGGTCATGCTGCATGCTGGGATCTGTGCTCCTTGCAGGCCTCACCTCCGTATTAAAGCTAAGTTCACCCACAGGTAGTATAGAATTCTGTAGGCCCCTAGGCAGAACTTTGGCCACCCCTAGACTCCATTGTATGCTTTGGTTCTGTTGAAAGGTGTAAGTGACTGGAGTACACGAGACCTGTACTCCTTCTGTATGTCCCAGTCTGTCTCTTAGAAACATTATGGTGCAAACATTGTGGTGCCGCACATGGCTAGTTGGAGATCTGACACTGGTTGCTGTATAATTTTGAATATTAATGCCCAATAGCCACCATGTGTACTCAGATATCAAACTCACAACTCTTCCCACAACACACAAGTTCCCCAGTAACCAGGTGGCTGAACCAAGCCAGCAGAGTGCCAACCTAATTCATTATACTATTTTTTAAAAATAAAAGTGCAATTATTCAATAGCTTTAGGATGCCTTCCCCCATTCTTAGGTCTTTATTGCTCTATAAAAATACTTCTCTTATTATTGTACTTTAAAATTACAATGAAGTGACCTCTATATGTATACATCTGACATCTGTTTCTTTTTGCCTGGCACACAGTCATACTCAGAATGTAGTACAGATACAGTCCAGTTAATGGTTATCTTTACCTGTTTTTGAAGCATTTGCAGTGAGATCAAACAGTTCAAAAAAAAATGCCCCATGAGCCACAGAGATGGCTTCTATTTAAAAGCAGTCCTTGCAAAAGAGCACAAATTTTATCCTTGATGCTTGGAGCTCAAGTATTTACACAGGGAATTTAGATTCTTCACTTGTGGTTTTGGCAAAAGCTTCACACAAATGTTTTGCACTGGTGGTCTCTTAGCCATTTAAGATAAACGACAAAATCAAATGCAGTCCTTGCAGACTAACGCTCTGGATGCTGTGCCAAGGATGAAGTATCCCTATTTGCCTCACATGTGTAACTGTCAGATCAACATGTAGCCATAGTTTTCGAACTGGGACTCTTGAGATGGAGAGGATGCATTATAACATGCTGCTTCTAATGTCATAGGGCTTATGGCAAAATAGTTCTTGATGCCCAGGTTTGTATATGTTTATGCACGCACATGCATGCACAGACAGAGTTGTCACCATTAAAACAAAATAGCAACAGCGTTTGCCAAAAGATACCCCACAATTAACACACTTATTTCCTGATCTAAATGTAGGGGAAAACCTGTGGTTTCCGAGGTACCACTATGAGGTAATTGTTGGCAAATGCCAGCTTTTGAACGGTGACCACTGCACCACATAGCTTTATTTAGAAGCTACCCTGGATTAGTTACAACTCCTTGTTGAGTAATTAAATAAAAGTCATGGCTTTAAATAAACATATAGTGCCAGATCTTCTGTTGAAATACATTTGTGTAGTTCCATTGACTTCAGTGGAATTGTGCTGATTTACAATATTGTGTGTGTGTGTGAGTCTGCATGTGCATTTGTGCATAGGTATGTGTGTGTATACACATATTTTAAGATTTATATTTTCTTTTTTAAGTCATAGGCTCCTTTCTGACTAGTGCCTGGAGAAGAGAGGGTTTCCAGAGAAGCAGGAGAGGATTCTAAACACAGCTTAAATAGCAGAAGATTTCTAGCTGCGTTAAAAATAAATAACACAGTTTGAGGCTACAATATTATTTTTCAGCTATTAGGAAAAAGGTTGTTGCATTCTTTATAGGCTTGATAGGGAAACAGAATACACAAATGGGGCATGCAAAATGCGTAACTGGCTGCAGCTCAAATGGGAAGGAAGCACAGTGGCCCATGAATGCTTTATTCTGGGAGCTTGATTTCTGGCACCTATGTGAAGCCATTTGATCTGTAAGTCGCTGCACTTTGTCTGCGCTGGTGGGTTGATCCTGTTTCAGCAGCAGCTCGGCAGAAAGCCTACCCAGTTTTGTGTCAGTTAAATGCATTAACACGCCATAAAACAAGAATCCCCCTTTTGATTCAGTCCCTAAGCACGTGCTGGTGGGTCTGGTAACTGCCTCCAGTTCTCATCTACACCATCTTTGACCTTCTCTAGCTTCCCTCACCGGCCACCTCATCCCCTTTCCATGTCCCCCTCCCTTGGGCCCCTCCAGTCTGAGTTTGCTTCCAGAAAATTGCCTGTAGCAATCTGTGGTTTTGTAGTTCTTCAGGTCTCTTGCCTGCCCATCCCCCCGGCCTGTCTTCTCCTCCCTGGCTTTCCAACGAGCCACACCAGTCTCAGCCTGACATATAAATTAGTTAAATAAAAATATGTAGCGAGTTAGGCCTAGTTGCCCTCCACCCCTCCTGTTTTCCCTGATGATGCCTCCTCTGTCCCTTCAAACTTAGATCCGACTGACAGTTTTTTCTATTGTTTTTTCTCCAGGGCCGTCCAGGCCTGCAAAGCTGCTGGGGGCTCCCATAGCTGCCTCCTCCCACCCTCACACATCAGTGATCACGTCACCTCTCCGCGCACTGGCCTCTCTCCCGCCCTGCCTTAGCCTGCCCTGCTGTGGTGCCCGTGCAGTCTCAGTTGGCGGGACTCAGACTGAGACTCAGACTGAGACTTCAGGCACATTTGGATGTCATTGTCAGTTGTCAGGTAATAGAAACTTTTTTTTTTTGCTATCTGAAGGTCAGTAGTGCTGCCAAGTGATGTCATCGTTACTGTGGGAGAGTGGTCTTCGCTGGGTTGTGTGGGGGAGGCAGTGAAAACGTAAACATTCCTTCATCACTGAGGACGGGGAGTGGGAAAAGGGGTGTGAGTCCATTCCTTCCCCCCCCCATCTACCCACTTTCAGATGTCACCGCCAGCCACTGCTGGTCTGTTTATGCCACATTGTGAGCAAATGTCTGAGAATCCTCACATAATGTGATACCCTGGTATCAAGATTTCATCTCTCTGGGCTGTTTATTTTAAGCTTAATTGGATAACATTTAACATCTGAGGTCTTTTTTTCCTAATCATTTGTATTAAGGGCTTTCCTCAAAGTCCATGTGCATGCAGGATGTATGTGCTCCATGCACTTTTCTCCACGGCTTTTGAGAAAATGTTCCTCATTAACTTTTTTTTTGTCTTCATTTTTTAAACCCTGACTCTTGTCACTGCCATGAAGGAAAGGCGATGTGGATTAGTGAAACCCAGGTAGCCAGGGAGGTCCCTGACATGTGACTGACTAAAGAGTTGATGCTTGACCCTGCCATTTCAGACACAGGGATCTCTTTGAAATCAATGGGTGTTCTGAGTGCAGCTTAGTTGAGGGATCAGGCCTGTAGTGAATTTAAGGGGTTAGAGGTGAAAATGGGAAGGGCCTAAAAGAAAATTCAGCTAAGGCAAAATCCTAAAGTGCTTACACAAGCAAAACTCCCATGTGTGCCAAATTCTGCAGTCCCTATTTGGGCAAACTTAGTCGGAGTTTCACAGAATAATGCTGAGTAAATACTGCATATGGACTGCAGAATTTGGACAGTCAGGAAGGACTTAGCAGAGTGAGAAGTGAGTAAAGCCTTAAAGAGTTGGCCCTGATGACCTCTTGGGAGGGCCAGCATAAGCTTGTTCGCATACAGTTTTTCATTGTAGCATGTGCAGATAGAACCCTACCACAGTATAACAGTGACTATATATCAAGACAGGGTCCCTATGATTCAGTTTCTTTGGAAAATACCTGATTGTATTTCCTTAAATGTCTGCGGTCTTTCACTGGGGGATACGGGGGCTGAGGGAGAAAATTAGGAACTTCAGATTTAATGTGATGAACAGAGATCGAAAGTTTTGCAAGTACAGTATTTTAAACCTTGAGTCTTGAAGGATGAAGAATTCTCAAGAGGAGGTTTAAAAATACACAACAGAACCTCCTAGAACCTGATCCAAAGCTTGAAGTCCACAGAAAGACTCAAGTTGACTTCAGTGGGTGCTGGATTGGGCCCACAGTGCAGTCAGTTTTCATACACCAACTTTTCTCTAAGCACAAACTCTTTATATCCAGCATGACGTTGCACAATGCAAAGAATTCAAATAATGTCTGCCAGCGATACGTGAAGTTGCACTATATCCAAGTTCCCTATAAGCAGGTTGCTTTCTCAATGGGGTTGATTCTCCACTCTGTTAATCTGGCTTCACTTCATTGGCTTCAGTGGATTGACATTGCCATAAAACTAATATAATCAAGCCCTTATAAACCACTAACACAGTGTGTGAAGGTAGGCAGTTTTCCCCCCGTAACCAGTAAAACATACTGGAGGCAAGCTCATATTTTCTGTTCCCCTCTCTTTTTTTTTGATATAGAATAGACCCGGGTGTCTTTGATATGTAGGTAGTTGTAACAATGAACTGATACTCTTATTCCCTATTGCTTCTAAAACAAACATAGACAGTTAATGGCGAGAGAAGAAAGTAAAACTAAAAATAGAAAAGGAAGGAAGGACTAACTCATTACAGCACGTTGGAACACAAGGCTTTTCTATTTTACGTACTTTCATTTTATAGTTGAGCGCTGCTAGTGTTTGGAATGATCTATTTGCTAAAAGAGTGATGCCAGCTTTGTGGGGAGATAGACCTGTTATCATGGCTTCCTATAATTACTGCTACAGTCTATGGCACTTAGAGAATAGGTTATATCAAAGCACATGCTAAGTGTTTATGACAGTAGTTGGTCAAGTTCTGCTTGAAAGAAACATTTTCTCCCCTTGGAAAGGAGACTCATATCTACTTAACCCTTTATTGTCTTCCACGTATAACGTTGAGAACATAGAACAAGGTCTTTTTTACACCCAAAATGTTTTGTGGAAATGAAACAAAAAGAACCTCTTTGTGTTGGCTGTATAATAATACCAGTGATGATCTCAATGTTGTTTTCTTTCCTCTTCATATAATCATTTACACTGGAGAGTCACTTACTCCAGCTTTAGGGATCTGCTTGTGTCCCTGACTCGATTAGCTCTTTATTCTGTCAGGCTTGTTCCTGTTTCTGAGGAATTGTTTCATTCTTTGAACAAAAGCCATTAACATTACCCTCCTCTCTCCTCCCCCCTCCATTTCTTCCCTTTTTTATTTTTCAGCTCTTGCTTAAATGCTTAGTAAGGACCTCACATTTTTCAGTGTAGCCTCAACCTCTCTAAATCTGAGGGCAAGCAATTGCAGGTGCATCTGTGGGCACCTAGTATCTCTGATTGTCACTCACAAATCAGGTCCTTAGGAGTCTGTGCAATTTGTGGCGGCAACAACCTGCATATGGGCGCCCACATGTCAAAGCTGCTGTTGAAAATTTGGTCCTGGATATGATTTGTCTTGTATACAACACACTGTTAAGTTGTGCAAATGGGAATTCATCCTGCATCATCTTGGGCTGTTTGTGCTCTTTAGAAATTTTGATGCTGATAATATTCAGTGTAGTCAATAATAACCACAACAAATGGATGCCATGGAAGTTCTGCTGTGGTGTGTGCTAGGCCACTTTTTGGTTGCTTTTTGCATATTCTGTTATGCTTTTGTTAATTTCTTTGTGTATAAGTAAACACAGGATGTAGAATTAGCAAGTTAGAGCCTACATATTAAAATATTATTATTTTAATATCTACACATATCACTGTTTCAGTGTCTTTTGTCCCTCAGAAGCTTCTGTCTGTTGAATTGGGCTCTCTTGTTTTAAACGTTTTTAGTGCCTATTTAATTAGAAGTTGGAACAGAGTCATGAAATTCACGGGGTTGTATAGCTTGGATCTAAAATATAAATGGGCACAAAATTCACTTTGCTTTGTGTCTTGCCAGATCAGAGTGCTTTTTTAAATCTTCTTTTTATTTTGTTTAAATTAATTCTGACAGCTTAGCTTAACTGTAAAATACATAACAAAGACAAGCAAACGATTATTGAGTGACATAATTATATGTAAAATTATATGTATGTTTGTGTATACAGACACACTGGAAAACTTTCACTGAAGCCATTTTTCACAATACATCTTCACTATAAATACAGGCTGCTTTTTCAAGATCTGATTTATTAATATTGTACATTGAGGCTGAGATTTTCAAAGCGGCCTACGAAACCTGGATGCTCAATTCCCATTAAAATAAAAGAGAAATGGGCTATGAAAATCTCAGCCCAAGAGTACATGGCATTTTATGACATACTGTACAAACATAAAAAGTCTCTGCCCTGAAGATGGTACAATCCAAAGGCGCAATAAATGGAATTGCAGTTGGTACATTGCAATGTACATTGAAACAACATTCGTCTTTAATTTACCCATTATACTTGTATTCATATGGGCTTGATCTAAATCCATTGGCACTGGCCCTGTGAGCATGGGTTTTATATACATATATAAAAATAATTAAATCTATCTAACATACATATATCTAATCAATCAGTGAAACAGCTTCCTTCCCACACAGACATATCTATAAGGAGGCAGAAAGCTATTGTAATACTTCAGTTGCATATTTAAAAACAGCAAGTGGGCATTGACAGCAGTGATTAATGGGCAGGACTGTGAGGTTCAAGATCTAACACAGAGGAGCCATGGGGCCCTAGATCACATGGTAAGAACAATTTTCCTTTAATTCAAGGAATTGGCCATATTAGTTATTAAGACAGTCTAATAATTACCCAATAATCTTGTAAAGTTAACATCAATTTATTTTGCTACTAAAATTTTGCTTACTGTATTATTTAACTAGTCTGGTGTTTTCTTGGCACGGGTTAAAGTGACAATAAAGTTAAAAGAAATACCTGTAAGTAAATAATAGGTTTTAACAGTAGAATATTTTTCCTCCTTTAGTTATATCACACTATTCATTTTGTGTTGGTTTATAACATGAGTCAGCCAATGAGGAACGCTAGAAAAGACCACCCTGCTGTAAAAAGCTTGATGCAATTAATACAGTCTGTCTAGAAAGCAATATTATTTCAAAAACTTTTATGTTAATGATATGGTATGTGTTCTGCACATTTCATACTAGAACAAGAAGCAAGCTTTTGTTTCATATCAGACTGGGTTTTATTAACACTGGAAGATCAATGGAAAACAAAACAATAATCAGAATGGAGAATGCAAACTCATCCTGCAAAAGCCTCCTCACTCATCAAGTCCCAGGACGATGGCTGATATGTTACTCCTCCCCCTCTTACTCAGTGGAATCTGAAAAAAAAAATCCATCCAAATTAGATTTCAGATCCACTTCCCTCCCTTTTTTTGGAGAGGAGAAAGAGGAGTTGGGCAGTGTGTGTGTGTGTGTGTGTGTGTGTGTGTGTGTGTGAGAATGCAGACAAAGAGCTACAGCTACATTAAAATCATTTGCAAATGTTTCTTCTCATTATACTGTGAAAAAAAATGATTCACGCTAGAGTAGAATTGACTAAAATTTGTGCTCAGAAGAGACGTCTCTATTAGTCACTGATTACTTATATTTATTTACTTATTTTAATGAAATATGTAATGCATTTTGAAGAATTTACTTCATGCACAGTGTTTAAAGTATGATCTATCTATCCATCTATCTCATATCCAGCCACAAACTAGACCTCATCATTTTTAATACATGGTATGTTTATCAAGAGACGAACAGGAGACTATAAGGCAGCACAGAGGCAGCTAAAATTA